ATGAAGCACAGTACCGCTTGAGAGCTCATTTGAAGCTCGAGGACGAGCTTACTGTAAGGAATGGAGATGTCGTATCCTCGCTGCCCGACCGCCAACAGGACGAGACCACCTGTTCACGGACGTTACACGGGGCCACTATAAAACGAGCCAGATACCGGCAACTTGGCCTCTACACATCTCGAGCGTCCAGCTCTGTGTGGCTTGCCCATCGTATCGGCTCTGGCCGACTTGTCCTAGCCTCCCCTTCATCCAGTCATGTTCTAATATAATATATATAAGTAATAAAATATGTATATACCCTCCGTTCTTTGTACCCACATATGAACTCACGTCCCGCTACATCATCAGTTATAGGCCTCGCGAACCTATAATCTGATAACTCCAACGGTCATACCTACTGGTTTATAGGTCCTGAAGGGGGCATTTCGATCCTATCGTTGTAGGGTTCACGCTTCTTTCGATACTCCTTCATCACCTGTCTAGCTATGAAGTTCGTGTCAGTTGTAGAGTTTTGAGGCATGAACCCGAACTGTTCCGTAAGGTTAGGACGACTTCCCTCAATTTGAGTCGACTGGCTGCTCGCACAATTTCATGCCATTCGCAGTCAGTTTCTTCCCTTAGTAGTCAAAATAATTATCGCGTCCTCAATGGAAATGATGCTCCTCCACACGTCCAGGACTCTTTCTTCAGCCTGTTTGGGGACAAGAAGAGCTACCCCCGCATGCCCTTTGAGCTTCCGTCATGTCTCGATTAGCTTTTCGTCTGACTCACTCAATCTTCCAAACGTCATCTTTCTTATTTCTCGACGCTATCATCGTCTGCCTAGCGTAAGGTATTGTATGTATGGACATCACTTTCGTTTCAGAATATTCTCATAATGTAATTCTTTGTTGAGGAATGCATCGAAGTCCATAGTCGTATTCTTTGAATTTGCAACCACAGCCTTTAAAAAAATTCTTCTTAATCGTGTAATAAGCTAGTTCTTCTGAACTTATCCTTTTTTGGCGCTGATATGCTGCTCTTATTCGCTCTGCAACTTTTTGAACTCCGTCAATCCGGAAGCGCTTGCCATGTTCTCCTTGAATCCACCTCGCGTCTTTCCATGTTTCCCTGAGTCCACCTCACGTCTTCCAGACCGTTTCTTATGCGCACCGTAGAGTGGCTCCCACAGCGATGCTTGAGTGTGCTGGATTTGTCTTTGATAATATGGAAGGTAAGCTTCCTCTATGCTCCATTTGAAGTCCTTCCTTTCGAATCAATGGAGCTTCCATCACGGGTTCTTCGGCTTTGCTCTTGTTTCCGATTTTTCTGGGAACTCTATGGATAGTCTTCTAGTAGAGGCCAACTCTTCGTCAGTGAAAACCTTTGTATCTCTTGCAATTTCGATGAACAATCTTTTTATGAACGCATAGTCGTTCCGTTTAGCCGACCCTGAGACTGCGCAAGATCAACGCTGAGTAAAAGAAGTAATTAACTGTCTTCTGTCCCCACATATTCTGTTGGTCCCTTTCTGATTGTGAACCTTGCCATTTTCGAAGAAAGTGCTGCAGATAGGTTTACCGTGCTCTGCTTAGATCAAAAACCCTTCCTCCTACTCATCCCTTTTATGAACTTTTCTAGGCCCTTTCCTTCACTCCTAATGGGATCGTAATAATAAAAAGCTAGATGAAACAGTCTTCTTCTATCCCCATTTGACTGCATCGTCGAGGCAAGGAAACAACCTTTTTGTATTCGAAACAGGCGCTTTCGACGGATATTGCCGTCCAGTGATTTCCTTCGTTGCTATAATTGCTTCTCTTCAAACCAGCCATTCCTAGGACCTCCCAATAGCGATTCGACATTCAGTGTAACAATTCCTTGAACATTTTCCTTTGACTCGTCCAGATCCAACTTTCTTAGCCGTTGTCCTTCACTTCTCGTAGCCCTCGCATACTGTCCACAGAACTTGGGCGCAGCTTCTGCGCGCCCCTCCCGGCTGAGTTCGTGACCATATTACCAAATTCTTTGAGGACCTCAGACATATTTGAGATGTCCTAGTTTCTGCATCTGCTGAGCAGTTGGGTTTGATACTTTTGCCGGCAACATGGGCATGGTTTTTGAATGGGCATTGATCGAACTCACAATTCTTCTCAATGAGACGAGACCCTTGTTTCCTTAGTGGGAGATTAGGTTAGGTTGCCGGCCTTTCCTTGGGGGTCACAGCGTCCGGATTGACACAAAAAAAATGTGAGCTTCGTTGCAGCGTTAGATTGATAACAATTAAAACTTCTAATTTCAGTGACTTACAAGCTTTGCGCTATCATTGTACAGCCCCTCTGTATGCATTAAGACTCTGTTCTGATTTAGGATCACCTTATACTTTTTTATTAGAAGAGTGGTCGTTCATTGTGTTTCTCAGATCAGCTGTAAATGAAAGGGTGTGCCTAACAAAGGAATATGCACCGAAGTCGAATGGACAAAATAGATCTGAGGTTCTTATCATCGAAGGGAAACATCTTATGGACTCTCTTTTTGAGGACTCCTCACGCACACTATAGCAAGATCACCCAAAAGGTGAGTACTGCTTCAACCTATTTCTTGTCTCTTTCTTGCCTTATCTTGTACTATTTTGCGAGAAGGGCGTTCTATAGTCTCTTTAATAGAATCACCGTAATTTTTGATCGCAGGAAACCCTCATTCTGACATTCCACAAAGCTTTGTTCGCATTAGCCTTTATTTTCTTGCTTGGCATTATCAATCTCCATTTATTTCCAATGAACCATATTAAGCAAGGCTCTTAAATCATATCGAACAACTCTTTGATTAACGGATCCAACTGGCGACTGTCAAATCCGTAGAAAGCTTCAACCAAGCCCTCTTTGAGATGTTTCAGCTCCTCCAGTTTGCGAACAAGCGCCTCGTAAATTTGCACAGCTTCACCACCAGTGTATTCGCATTCAACAACCCTGTAAATTGCCATCCTAATTCCACGATTACGTCTCTCCAATCCTCACCTTCTGAGCACCCCATAATACATGTACTGGATATCCCGAATACGATGTGTGTCCCGAAGATTGTGTCTGTCCGGGCGAAAAATGACAATGGCCATCAACAGCAACATTACGCACTCATTGGCCCGAATTTGTTGGTGGAACTCGGTGAGGAATCTAGAAAGTAGCAGTAGTGTTGCGTTCACCCTCGGTGGTTAGCGGCAGTTTGCCAAAAAAAGAAAGACGCTATCCAGATCGGGGTACCGTCCTCTGATTTCTATCAGAAGTCATGAGTTGTAAATGCATCACTCACTTCTTGTGCTCCTCGTAATGTTGTGATTCGGTGACCAGTTTCAGCAAATCCAGTTTGACTTCCATTCCTTTGAAACCCTAAACGGTGAATAATGTTCAGAGTTTCAATGTAAGCAAAAGCATGACTGTATCGCAAGAATGGTTCCGTATAAAGGAACGAGAGTATCGAAATGCTCTCGGTAGTTGACGTTGGGTCAAGAATTGTAGTCAGATTTCAGGAACACTTCCTATACCAAAGTTCACAGCAAAAGGTCTATCAGAAACATGCTATTGCTACAGTTTTCCACACTGCTTTGCCGTCCAGGTTCATAGTGATAGGACCGCTCTATTAGTTCGGCATTTCAAAAATCCACCTGGAAATAGTTGAGACCGCCCAGGAGTTTCTAGGAGTTGTTGCAACTGGTTCAGCGCGTTTGGGTACTTGGTCGGGTAAGCCACAGACAGGGAGCTCCGACCAACTTTTAGGTGTTTGAGGACGACGATTTGTTCGAAACGCCGACCTTATAAAACAGTTCTAATATAACAATACTACACCGTGTAGGAAAATATTATGTAGCATTTCAAGATTCCAGGAAAACCGAGCGTGGAGTTTATTGTTTCAGTATTTCAATAGATAAATAACGGAGAGTAACGGAGAGGGCAAACCGAAAAGTACTGGTGCTAAATAGTGCCATAACCACACGTAAGTGATCAGATAGGTATCGGTCGTGTCCCGTAGGGAAACTAGAATAAGATTTGCCTCTCGTCAAGTAAGAAACGTCGTATGATACCTATGCCAGTTCAAAATTAGTTTGTTACGCCAATCATACTGAACTTGAATGCTTGCAAAGACGTCTAGATCTAGATTCAGAAGCAGACGATCAGTAGTATACGTCGGAAAAGAAAATCAAGTTGTAGAGAATGGCCAGAATGTGAACTAACCGTTGAAAAGTTGTGGTTCCATGTATTCTTCGTGGGGTCAAATGCCATTACTCCTCTAAGAATGAGCAACTCGCTGCAGCTTCCTGAAATCCATCACAAACGATCATCTTTGACCATAAAAAGGTTTTAATTGAGGACCTTTCATGATATTCTTTTTATCCTCAATATCCAAGGCTTGGAATGCAGTAAGATCTCTAGCCATACACACTATCCTTTTCAGTGCTGCTTCAATGATTTTCACAATGTCCATCAACGTCAGCTCATCTTTGAATTGAAAATCAAGCGGAGCTTTGAGGGGCTCGTTAGCTCTGAATAGCTCCTGAAAGGATGCTGGCGGATGAGTGAAATCAGGACAAAAAGTTCATCTGGGACTCACCTGGACAAGCTGCAAGTCTTCTGCCGTAAGTTTATCGTATTTCCCATCACCGGCTACGCCTGGGGTGGGGGTAGCGTATTTCAGGCTCGTCGATGGTACACAATCTTGGTATCCTTACATTTTTGTTAAGTAGATAAATTTCATAGATATTTATGGAATAGACAAATTTCACAGATATCTATGGAAAAGCTTTAATGCAGATAATTTTTGCAGAGCATACTTAGGAGAAAAAAGCATAAACTCATCGTTACTTTCCCTACACTATTCTCTATACTGAATCATGGAGATCTCATGGATCGAATCGGACCAGCCATTTAAAAACGGTCAATTCTTTTGTTTATTCCAAAGTAAGCGGTACCAAGCATTCCACTGTTTTTTTTTCCTATTCAGGTGTAATATGACTTTGAATTTAGGCCTCCATATAATCAGAATTGTAGCAGGCTTACAATTTGATTTATAGGAATGTAGTGATACGGCTGAGCAACACCCCAGTCATCTCATGGTTTTCTATTGTTGCACAGTACGCTACCTGCTGACTGCTTACCTGTTGGCTGTAGGGATTGCATCATGGGATTGATCGTCAGCATCGGAGAAGGTGGAATCGGTGACTGCAAAGGTGTGTAAGTCCTGAAACGTGTCCTGTTTGCTATGGGAGTTGGATTTTTGTTTACTGACTTGTCAATAACGAGCTTTAAAAGGACGAGAAGCAAAAATGACTCGATACCTACTTTTTCGATTTGGCATTTATTATATTAAATGCCCCAACTCTGCTTCGAATGCATCCCACGATAGTAAGCGTTAAAGGCACAGTGCACGATAAAAATGAGTTCAAAGATTTCTCCTCAAGACTACCCAGTGGCCTCCAAGGGTGACAGAAAGGACGCTGTTGGCCCGAAAAACTGAACAACTAGGGCATAATGGGAACCCCATTACCGGATTCGTCGACGTCCGTATCCATTGACCAATGATATGCCAAAAGAGTTACCGAAGCGATACTGGTTGCGCGCCAGGACCCGCACGGTTATCATGCAATCAGCTGATCGCCGAGTGGGGAGGGGATCTTCAAGGTGAAGTTGTTGGAAATTCACGGGACTGAAAATCTGACTTCTGCAATAATCTGAGGATCTCGACATACTTGGAGATAAGATGGGTCGTGAGTATTGACTTCTGATTGAGTTGTTATCACTATACGACAACGTTTGTAAGTATAATTGTTTCGACTTTATTTTGTGAACTGCTGTTCTGACTTGATAATTGAAGCAGATTGTAACATAAACAGATTTCAGCTCAGCGGTTCAATGCCGGTACTGGTTAAAGGGTTTAATGCCCTCAACTGATAAGCTAGCGGCACGAGCGCCTCTAACAAGGCAAGGATGCTTGACTACGATGGCCATTCGAGATGAGAAACCGCCATAGGTGGTTTCGAACGCTGATCTCAAATCTGTGTTCCAGTTTCTGTTCTGCTTAACGATTCTGGGAACAAAGTTAGGAAACCCATGCTTCCCTGTGTTATTCCACTGCGCCGAACATGTTACTGAGGCGAGGAAAGCCTTAGTTGTGTTACGGTGGCGCAGCTGGTCGAATGGTGAACTAGTAGGCACGACACCAAAGTTTGGTTCCTTGATGCATGCGCTCGTTTTGGTTCTCCCGTGAAATGCGTCTTAAACACTCGTAAATGTTGGGCATCTACGGAGCCCCTCACAATCTGGGGAATAGTAATAATAATAATGACAATGGAAATAACAATAATAATGGTAGCTATAAATTTTTTCTCACTACCGACCGAATAGATACGCCTCCTCATCCCGAACACTCGAGATGAAATTGAATGTTTCGAAATTTTCGGCAGCACCCTGCATTTACGGTAGAACGCGGTCGAATGACTCATCTGACCGGAGCACCCTTTGGGAGAGGTACGGTGCACATATTCTAGGAATACTGTCCGCATTTCCAAAAGCGGTGGTACATTTTGACTGACATTGTTAACGAAACTCTGTGGAACAATAGTTTATCGATTCGTGTGCACAAATGTTTATCTGCTCATCCTTGAAGTGAACGCCCTTTCAAGAACCCCTCATGAAGAAAACGTGGTGATGCGGTGGGACATAATACTACGGTGCACTCCTAACCCTTAACCTACCTATGGCTTGCTTTGAATTTGTCCCCTACGGGCCTTCATTGTTGATTGGAAATGACTGCCGTGTACTGAGATTCCTATGTTGATTTTATGAAATTATCCTTAGAACTTAACCGCTGCTCTCCATAGGTAGATAAATCGGTCCGCTTGTTTTGCTATTGATAGTTACAGCCACTTAAGACATCATAGGCTGTCGATAATAGGCTAAATCGAAAGCTCATGGCCCCTCACAGTTCCACTTTGTTTCCGTGGATAACACTCTGTCGTGATGATACACAACGTGCTTATCATCTACAAGTACGTGCGGCTTCTTTCAACATTCGAACTATTGAAGGCTACAGACTCTCCTAACAGCGCCATAAAAATGGTATTCGCTGGCCAGATCACGAAATTGGAGGCTACGTTTCACTTTGGAATCTCTACATCCCCACAAACGTACGAGTTCTCTCGCGAAGTTCTCGGTCCATCAGGTGACCGCAGAGGAACATTGTGATCGTCTTTCAGTGGCTAGATTTCCTCCCAGCGGATAACGAACTTGTTTTCATAGCATCGGAATGAATGATGGTTGGAAGGGTCTCAACTACATCCCGATCCCACCTCCAAGATGGTGCTCACGTTATGCGCTGCACGAACGAAATGGTCCATCAAATACGATGACACCTTGACACCAATATTTTGCTGATAACATGGTAAAGAGCACTCGATCCGATGAACCACTTGGAAACATTTTCTTGAATCTTCTGAAGCTCATTTTGAGCAAATATTCAGAACTCCTCTAGTGCTCAAATGAAGCTCCACCCGTGTTCGGCCGGTTGGGGGCAAAAAAAGCTTCTTCGTAATACCTTTTCTTATTTCTAAAGATAGCTGGCCAATATTGAGCCTAAAAAAGTCTTGGTTTAGGAAACATTTCATGGAAAAGCGCACGCATGCATCAAGCAGACGAATCTTGACGTCATGGCGACCAGTCCACCATCTTGTCGGCTGCGCCGCCATTGCAATGCTATGTCATTGCTTGGCTCGGTAATCTGTTCGGTACAGTATTATAAAACGAGAGGCATTGTTCACGTAACTTTGTTTCCAGAACCGTTCAGCAGATTTGAAACGCAGATTTGAGATCGGCGTTTGAAACCAGCTTCGATAGTGTACATCTCATCTTGAATAGCCACTGCGATCAACTATCCTTCCATTGTAAGAGGGCAAGTGTAAGTGGGTTTTCGGTAGTGTAAGGGGTAAAAAGCACGGTGCCACAAAGCACAAGTACTGATCCTAGTTTCAGAAGATCAAGCTTTGCCCACAACTCATCATCGTTGTGAAATCATCAACTATCATTTGGACGACTTCGGCTGACTGACCAGGTTGCCAATTCGCAGAAAAGTCGGTGCGCCAGCAGACCAGTCGAAAGGAGAACTGAACTACTTATGGGTGGTTATTGCTGTGATCAAGGGTAACAGATACACATGTATCGCAATGACATAGTTCACAGGAAAAAAAATTTCTAGGATTTCTAATTGGGACGAATCTGTGGCTTGCAAGGATGTCACATGAGGGTGCTGTAGGTTCAAAAAGCGGTTTAGAAAGGGTGCTACAGTGCGTTTCATAATTATAAGGTCACCCTCAAATATTGCACTTTCAAGAAAAGCAATCATTAAGGATGTTTTCTAGCAT